TTTTCCCCAATATGGTTCTTCAGGAGCCACATGTTGCTTTCTAGAAGTGTCTGACTCTTCTTGGCCACAACCTCCTGCTGGTTATGGTGAGAGGCTCTGTCACTGTTGCTGCTGAAATATTTCTCAATTGCTATTTTGTGTTCATTTCTTCAGAGTTTAGTGGGGCAGAGGTTGAAAACTACCCCCCAGATGTCTCCTATTTTACACACAGTTTAGCTTGTTTGTGGGTGTGAACATTTCGGGGTCACTGGAGTCTGTGTCCTTCCCCCACGAGAGCAGACGGTGCGGGTTGTGCTGTCACCCTCTCAGCTCCTCATAGACGGTCTCCCGTGTTACAGTCACCTGACATTTCAGTTTTTGTACACGTGGTAGCATTAATTCATTTTCGGATAATGACAGTAAATTCTTCATTCCTCATGGCATCTCAAGAGTGGAGAACTTCAACTAGTGAAGAACACAGTATTCCTAACTTTGTTAGTCTTACGTTGTAACATTTTATTTTGCTAAGCCCTTTCCCCCAGACCTGTCGATAATTAGCAGAATTCACTAGTTGTACTTGCTCTTCCTCCCTCCAGAGTAGATGGCAGAGTAGATAGCTAAATGTGTTGACAGGACATCTGAACGTAAGCAAGTAACAACAGCAAGCACAAATACAATGAAATCCTGCATGGGTTCCATTTACAGTGCATCGATACTTCACCAAATGGCATTCGTGCATGTGGGGTTACACTGGACACTTACTGAAGACGATTTACAGAACTCTGAAGTGATTTCTTCTAGGACTTATAGTTTTAGAGACTTAATGTGTGTGTGTTTAATGTTTTGATAAAAACTAAGATTACTCTTTTGCTTTAATCTGTTTTTTAGCATGTATTTTTCAGCTTGAGGATGCAGCCTGTAGCAGTGCCAGGCACACAGTGGGTGCTTAGTTAATATGTGGTGGGTGCTCTGCCCCTGGTAACGTGAAGGCCTGTGTTATTACAGAAGGAAATTGTAATATTCATGATTCTTGTTACAGCCTTTATCACTGGAACTCATTTAAAATAATAAATCACTTTAATGCATTCTAGCAGAATATTTTTAGATTATTCTTTAAATTAATCTGCCCCTCTTTTTAAGTCACTCACTTCCTGACCCACTTCCCGTCTTTTCATCTCTTCTTTTTCCGATTATGTGTGACCTTTTCCTGCTTTTTCTCAAAATATATCTGTAATTACTTAATTCCACTTAAACATTACACAGTTTGTAAAGGGCTTGGAGTAAAATAGGAAGTCAGCTCTTTATTATTACAACACTAGTTGAATCGTTGCTCGAGAGATGCAGACCCATAGATATTTCTGTGTAAAATAACCAGGCTAGGCTCCGTGAGAGCTCCGCATATACAGGAGGGAGACACAGGAATGTGGACGAGGCTCAGCCAGGCGCACAGCTTGGTGGACTCTCTCTAGGAAGGGATGCGCTAACGTGGGAGCACAGCAGCCGGGGACTGTAAGGGAGGTGGCACAGCTCTGAGACGGAAATTGGAGCAGGAATGGAGAGCTCTGAGTTCTAGTCTTTCCTACCCCCAGCTGAGAAACACTGAGCCAGTTCTCTTAGCCTTCTTCTGTCTCCAGCCTCAGCGTCTTCTGTCTATATTGTGAATTTTAACTAACTCGCTGGTTTGTAAGTATCGTGTAACACACATGTCTGCTTTGCTTTCATAGAAGATATGTGTTCTGTGTTTTTTTAGTTTGTGTCGAGTAACAACCTGTTTTTTTTTTTTTTTGGTTGCTATTAATGAATGTAGGAGCATAGATGAATCATGCTATTAGCTTATAAAGTCTGTACCATTTGCACGGTGACTTCAGGTGGTCTTAAGTAAATAAATAAGATGAACTGATTGGTGCAGTCAGTCTCTCAATAATTGTATTTAGATTTCTTTGTTCATCGACACATGTACAGTACCAAACATTTAGAAATTTTAGGCTGTATATTCTAAGTTTCTATAATAAACATTTGTGATTTTTATAATAAAGAGTTAAAAACCAACAACAGTCCTGAATACTCCTCACCTTTGATATAGCCAGGGATCTGATTGGCTTTTCTTAGAGGCTTTTGAAAGCATCTAGAGGTGATCTTTTGATGTGTGACCTGGTAAGCAAAGAATGAACGGGTCTTCGGTTTTTGCCTCACAGGATTTTTATTCTTTGTCCTGTTAAAACAGCTTTAAGTCTCTAAGTGGTCTCTAGTCAGTGTTTAGACTATTAGTAAATTATCAGTCCAAATGCATCTAGCTGATTTGTCTTCCTGTTTCTAAGCTGGAAGTGAGAAGCTGCTAATTAACTAAATTTTAGCCTAGCATATCTGAACACTTCAGAAATACAATGTGTAATACATTCGCTAATGCCCTTTGAAATAAACCTAATTTTCTGCAGATATTTTAGCTGTGCTGAATTAAAAGAAAACTCTATTCTAAGTTTATAAGTCATTCTGGTGTGTCGTACAATATTTTGATTTCATTTATAGATGCAGAGGCACTTTGTGGGACCTGGTATGGAATATGACAGAATCAGAGATTAGCGTAGTCCCTTTGTGAAGCCGTTTTCTGTTCAGAGAGAACCAAAATATGCACTATCTGAAGCCCAAGATGTTGACAAATAACAAAATGAAGCATTAGGGGATGTCAGGAGAAAGAAGCTGCCAGTGAATTGTTTGGAATTTTCCTCATTGCCTTATAGAATTAATAACACACTTAGATGCTATTAAATATGAAATTTTTTTTTAATTGGTCTTTTCCTGTAGGCCATTGGCCCCTTCTGTCAAAACTAAATACATTCTCAGAAAAGTTGGGCAGGAGATAACCCAGCTGAAGTGTGGACTAATGAAATGCAGTGCTTTACCTATTGCATGATGCTTAAAATACAGGTGTTTTTTTGTTGTTGTTGTTGGCTGAATACTGACTGATTTTCATTCCTATGTAATTTACTTGCATGGAGATTAAGAAACCTCTTTTTTATTAAATAAGCTTGAGAACAAGATGAATGCACTGGGTTCTTGGGTAGAATGTATTGGATAGCTCCCTTTATAATGAGCATTTAAAAATCTGCCTCCTTAAAATCGGAAAATGCATTCTTTCCTGTATGGAAAGCAATATAGTAGTGAAATATTCCTCCTTAATTTTGGTCCGAACGAACAAAAGTGTCTGTGTTTATTCCTGCCTAATGCATCACAAATCTGCTGACATGCTAACCTTGGAGTCTTGGCTGGCGTTAATCAGGCCTGTGCACCGGCAGGAAAGATGCACCTAATGCACTCCATCAGTGCAGTTTGCATATGGAAGTTCTCACAGGGGAGCTGCCCTGTGCCAGCTGAGGGTTACCTGCCCACTGCAGTTATTGTATGTAATTATCGAACCAATCTGTTCAGCCCAGCAGGGTTTAGATGGTAATCATGAAGCAACACTTTGGAAAAGAAAGATGTAAGGCACTCTCCCCTTCTCTCATCAGTTATATGAAGTTACAGCCACTCTTAACAGCAATTTTTGAGAGGCAATACCTCCATATACAAATCTGCTAAATGAATGCCTTTGAAAGTTTCTGAAGGTTTAGTCAAGTTATTTTTGTCTGTGTGAAGCGTTTTCTTCAGGAGCATGGCGGGGGTCTTGGAGTTCTGATCTTTCCATGGCCACCTTAAGAATATTTTGAAACAGTGGGATTATTTGTAATACGTAGATAATAACAGTTCTGACCATTTGGGGGTCTTAAGGTAATGTGGTTTGAGTAGAGTGGAGCTTTCCCAGGCAGCTCCCTGTGGAACGGAACCCGTGGCTGCCGTCAGGGAAGAAGGGAAGAGAGCGGTGTGCTGTCAGCAGGCAGTGTGGACAATGGCCCAAAGCAAGGGAAATGCTCAGATGAAGTTTAACTTAATATTAATTGTTAGAAAATATAAGTGAGGACGTTCTGATGCATTGTGAATCTGAAATTTGGCACAGATGAGAGGATTTCCTAAACGAAATCTGGGCCACCCAGGGAAGCTCTGAGTTATCGTTTGGACTTTAACGCATTTAAATTTGAGACTACATGGGATAAAGTTATAGGAGAAATACAAAGTTGTAAAGTTATTACTAAGTCCTTCCATAGTCATTCGTACATGTAGACGTGTGGAGTAATTTAAAAACTTCACGTCGGACTGAACTAGTTAGAAAATGTCATAGTGTTAGAAAATAATGAAAAGAAACTGAACGAACACTTGGGAAGACCGGCTGGTGACAGAATTTAAGCATTAACTACTAAGTAACCCTCAACTAGAAAAAATAAATAGAAAGTTGGAAAAAAATAAATAGAAAGTTGAGGAGAATCCACCCTATTTTCGAGATTTTAGGAGAGCTGTGTACTTTTAAGACTCTTCCTTTACAGGAAGGTGTCCCCCTTAAACTTTTAATGAAAAGTATACCAAAAGAAGACATTTATTGGAAGTTTGTCATTACTGATTCATGAGCAGAATTTGCCATTGATTGATAGAGTATAACCAGAGATATCCTGTATGCACAAGGTGTATATTTTCCCATTTATCAAGTAATGACTGTCCCCCCCCCCCCACATACCCCACACACATTGTAAAATGCGGAGAATAAGTATCATTGGCCTGAGTGGTGAAACCAAATTTGTTAAATGCTTTGCTTTTAAAAGAGAGTTTCTGTATCATCAATCCTGATGGTTAGGCTTTCAATGATGAACTATAAAAAGCATAAAAGCTTGAGGTGGTTACAACAAACAAGCTGACATCCAGACTAACTGTATAGTTGAAGTTCTCTTAATCCCATTTTCTTCCATCCACAGCCCCTTCGCCTTAGGTAACTACCACCCTGTAGTTGTGTATATTCTTATTGTATGTTTTGATTCACCCACAACCTGGATAGATTCACATATATACTAGTATATGGTAAGTTTGTGTATTTACTTATTTGACCATCGGACCACATCTTTCTCTCTCTCTTTTCAAAAATCTTTGTGTGTAACAAGCGCAAGAAAGGAATTGAGGAGAGCACCGAATCCAGTGTTGAAGATATGGAATGGTCAGATACACAGACAGAAGAGGCCACAAAAACCCGTAAGTTGAACAGTCTTGCCTATTAGCTTTTTCCATATATAAACACAGATTTCATTTCCTTCCGCTAAGTAAGAGGTTAACTTATGGTCATAACATTTTGGTCTTATGATAACATATCATACAAGAAGATCTTCTGTTTGTATAGTATTATCACAGTGTCCTTTGTACGTACATTGTATTATTTACTGTTCACAGTAATCACGAAGTTGGGGTGGGGAGCTATTCTCATTTTGCATCTAGGGAGCGCAAGACATGGAGCACTTAAATGGCAGAGCCGGAACTCTTACCTCTCAGGCTACTGTCTTTCCATTTCCGCACACTGATTACACATCACGGGATACAAGGGAAGGTCCAGATCCGGCGAGTAGTACCTGGGCTTACTGTGGCTGCCAAGTTCCATGGGCCTGAGCCGTCCGTGTGCCCCCCACAAAGTCTGCCAGCTCTTCTTGTCTCTCAACAAGTTGGGAGGCAAGGAATTAAAGCCTCAGTCATCGCTTTTCAAAGCTCTTGAAGCAAAAAGCAGAGTATAAAGTCATTTCTGAGATGGCTTGTAAACTGGTGCTGAAGGCTCTTCCAGCATGGAGCCGAGCTAGCATTGACATTAGCAGGGCTGCATCTGCAAAGGGCACAATGGGGTTGGGCTTCCGTGTGGTCTACTTCCTAAACGGCCAGTGCGGACGTGTAGGCACACCTCTGGGAGGCTCAGAAAAGGGAAAACAGGTTCCAGGTTTCACAAGAGATGATTTCTTGGACGCAATGAAGAGATTCAGTGCTGGTTGCAGTACCATGTTTTTTTTTCTTCCAGATTTCTCTCCTATCTCGCTGCCTTTTATTTATTTATTTATTTATTTATGTATTTATTTATTCATTCATTCTTTTATTGGTTCTGAAGCATTTCTCACTTTCTAATAGAAAAGGCTCATTTTTGGTAAAAGTTTCATTAAAGCCCAAGTGCCCTGTTGAGTCAGGCCAGGGATGTATTTTACCTTTCCTTTGATAGTGTCGCCTGTGCACATTTGTGGAGGACGAACATTTGACTTTCAAAGAGAATCTTCTGCACTCGGGTCTGTTAACATTGTCTTTCTTGTATAGTATGGATAGAACATCCTTAGGTTTACATGAATTCACCCCCAGAGAATACTGGGGGTATCTAGAGAGGGAGGATAGAACTTCACCCTGGAGGCTAAAGGTTTTAAAGAAGTTCCTTTCTGTCTTCAGCCATTTTCCGATCCCTACTGTTCTCCCCGCCTCCTGTCTTGTTCATTTTGTTATTAGGAAGTGAGGAGTCCCGAGGAGCAGTGCATGGAAGCCTGTCTCAGCCAGAGGCTAGCAGCAGCAGCTATGACAGTGAGTGGGAGCAAAATTAAGGAGCATTTGTAAAGATAGAGCAATATTCTTATTTTAAAAAAATCCCTTAAAAATTTTTAAAACGGAGAGTTTTAGTTCAGCAGAGGGCCCAGCCCACATTGTGATAATAAGGTTGATACCCATTTAGACCGGAGTGAATTCACAGCTGTGCATGGGAAAACTCATGCCTCTCCTGACTGCCTGAAGGTCATTTGTTACCTGAACTTTGCTTAATGAGCATCAGAGTTATTTGTTTTGATACATCAATAATTTTAAATTGGACTATAATTATGAAAAAATGTTTTTTATGCCCCAAATTTTAATTTAAGGTCCTTAACACTGCTGGTTTTTACTGGGAGAAAATATATTAGTATTTTTGTTTTATTTATTAATAACAGAAGAAGAGTGTGGACCCCATTGCATATTTGAGGAGAACAATCCAGATTTTTTGTTCCGATTTAAACAAAAAGAAGATAGAGAATAATCAAATTCTCCCTTATTTATATAAACTCCAAATTGCTATACTTAAATGCTGTTTCTCTTCTTATTGTAATTTATCCTTTCTTCTAAAGTATAGGGCTAAAGTATTTTATTGTCTAAATATTCATAAAGGAGAGAAATATTACCTGAGATGGTAAAATGTTATTGCTTCTGGCAAAAAAAAAAAAAAAAGGCCAGTGTTCATGAAAATATGTATTTGTATTCATCATTTTAAAATAACTTGAAGGCGGAGGCACATTATTATGTTTGAATTTTGTTTTAAAAAAGTATATAATACAATTCAGTGACTTCTGTGTTCTAGAGCTTTAAGATTTTGTGTCATAAACGTGTTTCAAGAATGGTTACCTCTAACAGCAGCTTTAGAAATGTCAGTTTCTTCATTAACAATTTTATTTTCAAACACAATTTATGGTTTACAATATGGTAAGAGATTTTTCTCACTGTGTGATCTTTCAGAATGCTGTGCCTGGCAAAATGGGAGCAACTTTCCTTTAATATCTATTTAGACCATTTTAAAAACGTGTATAATTTTCTTGATACACCTAAACTCATTTTGACTAGTTGGGGGTCTATTGTGTAAGAACACATTCTGAAAGCTTTCAAAATGTGTATTGTGTAGGTTTTCTCAAAGAAAGAGAGGGGGTGACGGGGTGTTTTTCAAGAAGAACAGAGGCCTCTAATCCTTTTATTTTTATGCAAGGCATAATTTTTACCAATTGAGAAAATTTGGTTATTTGCTGCAAGTAATTTTTTCCCCCACAAAATGATAAGGCTTAAAAAATCATGTATATTCTGGCATTTCAAAACGGTCCCAGTACTTCAGAATTGTACTAAAAATTAGTTAATGTAGCCATGATATTTATGGCTAGCTGCTTTGTCCCTCCCGTTCATAAAATGGACAGTACTCCACAACCTTCTCTTGTTAGTGTTAGATTAGAAGTAACCTTGAATTTGGTCCATTCTTGAGAAATCTGAGGGAAGCAGGATTGACGGTTACCTCTCGAATATCTATGATCTAGTCAAAAAAGGGATATTTTTAAGGGCACACTACAAAGAAACTTCCCACTTATTTTGAATTTCTGCATTAATAAAATCATGGAAGAGTACCCAGACTTGTATTTTTCCTTTTTCAGATACTAAATTTTACATGTTAGTCTTGAGATTGCACCTTTTACCAATAGTAATAAATTATGAAAATGGGTATATTTTTTTTTAAAGAGACGAGAAGAGGAAAAATATTTTTTCTGCCACAATTAGAATTGATTATTAGGGAAAACAGTGAATTGATACCTGTAGCAAAGACTTCATGTTGCAGGATCCTGATTATATAATAAATTCCAGGTAGTGTTTTTAGTTGCAGTGAAAAATTTTAAATCTAGATTGAAGGAGATAAGCAGCAGTGGTGTTTAAGAGTAAAAAAAAAAAAGAGTAAAATGACAAATTAGGGTGTTAGTGATAATAATACTACTTGAACAGAGTGATAACTGTTGTGAAGTGTCCTTTGTAATGTGACTATTCCAAATTTATTGAAAGGAAGATGTACTATAGTACTGATTATTGACCTGGATTTTGTGATACCCTATTACGCCCCACCTCAGCCCATCACAGCATTCCTATTTTTCTATGCAAAATTAATTTCAAACTTCTTGAAATAAAAAACTAAAAATCTACCATGGGATATTTTTTATCCATCACAAAAATTGAGGAAAAAGCTCAAAAGTTTAAACCAGCCGTAGTGAAGGCTATGCATTATCACTGGCAGGAAAAAAAAGATATACATGTAAATTTGAAGTTTTCTTTAATTGAAATATATGGCAATGAAATAAAAACTGGAACTTAGAAAACACTAATTTTTAAACTGATCTTCCACACAAGTAACTAAGCCTATAAACAGAAAACCTTTAGGATTTATTATTAGACATGGTAAATATTTTGTCCTAGATTCAAAGAATGTTTTATACATTTCAGAAAAGAAGTATTGATCTGTTGTTTAGTGCATTCATTGATTAATTATGGGTGACCATGTGCCCCTCACCCTGGTACCGTTGCTCATTTCCTGGCCAAGGGAGGCATGAGGCAGAGGGAAGGCACACTTCGTTTGCCCGTGCTAGGCAGCCGTGATCAGGCTTACACGTACCCTTCTGACTGCTGTGCTCGGTCTGAGGTAGAGTGGGGGTGCTAGGTGGGAACCGAGTCTCCTTGGTGAGGTGGAATTCCTGTAAAGAACTCTGCCCCCAGTAAAGAATGACTGATTTATTCCAACTCAGGAGTAGTTGGATAGGAACTGTCATACGGTTCTTTGACCAGTATCAGCTGTGATGCATCTTTAGAAGGCTACTCATTTGGGATCTCTTTAATTCCTAGTGGAAAAGACTTTGTGTTTTGGAATGGCCAGTGTGCTCCTGCCTAGAGAGTATAGGTAACAGGCTTTAAAAAGCAACACATTTTATTCCTTGCTTTTCAGAATTTGCATTACTTCATTGCTTCTCTCCAAGAAATGAATGCTTGTCTTGTTGCTATAGCTTACATTAGGAGTTATTGTTTTAAATTGCACAATAAAAGTTTTGGGGAGAAAGATTTCAGTGCCTTTGTAAATTGAGTGTGTTTTACCAGTGGGAGAGTTCTGTTGTGACTTAAGACTGAAAGGTAGACGTTAGCATATTTTTGGACATACTAAAAAATGGACACGATTTCCTAAGATTTTCAGGCTATTAGCCATTACCTTTGTGTAGGAATTTAATCTCCACAAATCATCATAGTCAGATTTTTAAATATGAATAAGTATATATGGAAATGTTTATATATCTGTTCTTTAGTTTTTGTAAGTTAATGATTTGAATTTGTTTTTTTCTCTTCAAGGTTCAAAAACCAGAAAGAGAGTCCAGAAGTAAATCAAATGCTGTCAACCGACTTTTCTTTTCTTCCTGTCATTTGACTTTTTCCTCTTTTTCTATTTTAAATGTTATATTTTCATGTGAGTCTTTGAGGATGGGGCTAACCATGAAATAGTATGTCTTTGAAAAATATAAACTTTTTTATTAAGTAAATACTTTGTACAATTTATTAAAGGCTAATTTATAAAATTGAAAATCTATAGGTCATACTCTTTCAGCTGATCCCAAGCTGTATGTGTTTGAGGTTCTGAAGCAGCT